TAAATCGATATGTGAAAAACAACAATGCGATCCGATTTAGACGCAAAATGTTATCTCGCGGCTTCAGAATCTCGCAACGAACAGACAATCCAAAACCGATGTTACATTCTTCAAATATCTGAGATCTTCGCAAAGCGTAGCTCATGAAAAGAAAAAAAACGAGCGAGAGAAAGAGAAGATATTCTCTCTTCCGCAACACTTCGAAGCGACAGTGAAGAAGAATATCCCGAGGGGGAGGGGAAGAAAAAAATGCACGTGATTATTGATCGAGTCCGAGAAGTGTTGCTCGCGTGCGAAGGGCTGCACCCGCGATAAAGCGCGATAAACGCACTGACGCGGTGTCGCCAGAGGTATCGAAAGACGAAAAATTGGAATATGCACACACACACACACACATACGTGCACACACGAGAAAAAGATGAAAAACGCGCGCGCCTTTCGTTGTCGCTACTGTTCTTCGCACTCCAATTGCTGCCGCGACGGGGGCAAGGCACATGATCTCGGCGCCGCACGACCGCATATCGTCCAGTGTGTACACACGTTGCATCACGATATATCCACACCCAATCTCCATATACGTGGAACGGTAACGCATCGCCAGTAAGGCGATCTCGTTATATACGCGGCGGCTCTTCGCCACGAGTGAACGTGGTCGCATTATCGGAAACTCAAATAATAAAACATACAGCGATAATTCTGTGTGTACTACTACATCGTTATACGATGATCAAACTAGTCAAATAAATTATCGAACCTAAGGCAAATTTTTGACGAGCTATTCAAAATTTGATCGCTCGCAATTGTCGTCGTTTTTGCGTGCGAAATAATAACGCAATTTCGTTCCGGCAAAATCCCTTCCCGGAGATTTCAAAGACGTCGTCGCTGTTCATCAGAGTGAAAAAGGTCGTGCGGGAAAAAAATAGCTTTACGTAAGAGAGTCACACGCGAGATATGCATGTATAAACGTTCCACTCTCAATACGCGCGCGACCGAGGCGATTACGGCGCCGAGCACACCCTCCGAATGTTAATACACGCGCAAATTTAATGAGAAGCAGAACGCCAACTTCTTCTCAAGCGTGTAGAGAAGATGAACTTCAAGTCAAGAAATAGGACTTTTACACGTGTGCAAAATGTAGCTTTTTAACGTGTCAATTACTCAACATGGAAAATTTGAATTTAAATCTCAACTCATATTTTTATCCAAACCCGTATCATTTGTTGTGCAGAGAAGACGTTGCAATATCTCGCGAATAACCTCGATCGCGTGATAGTGAAAACATTGGAAGTGTTCGCGCACGTTTCTAGGTGTTTGCGGACGTATCGGTGCAACGAACGTAAATGACGATGAGTTTCGTAAAAAAAAACAAAACAAAAAAAAAAAAAAAACAAAAAGAAGAAAACAAAAACGGGGACAAGAGAATACCAGTTCTCTTTTCTCCGTCCGCTTTGTTTCTCTCATTATTTTTCTAGTTATCAGACTCTAAAGTGTTCAGCATCCACACGCTAACGAAGTGGAAGCGCGCTAAACGCTTGAATTCTTTCCTCTGTAAGGTCGGCCCCCACATATTTTTCACGTATCGCAATAATAATTAGAGTTCTGAACACTTCCTCCCTTTTCCCTTTTCTCCACGCCGCCCGAAGTATTTCGTGTGTGTTAAAAAAAAAAAAAAAACGAACTCGCACGCAATTAATACATCTCCGAGAAGTGTTCACTTCGCAGATTTTCAAACGCACGCGATTAATTTGTTTGGTCTCTTCAAGTAGAATAAAATAACGTGTAAATAATGTATTAAGTTCTTACAACAATTGAGGAATTATTATTATTGTCCTCGTGTTTGTTTAAGATCACGTTCTTGTTTAAGATCGCGTCGCGCGCGCGCACACACACACACACACTTGTTGATACTCATAAAATTTCTTTAGATATATATAATTCATCTCAATTAAGCGCAATTACATCATGTGTTTCCCCGTCTCGCTGTGCGCGATAGTTTGTTTCGTCCAAAGTGCATCTATGAAGAATAATACATATCCTGGTAAAAATAATAAAACGTTTATCTCTCTCACGATACCGTGCGGCGCGATCGTCCGCCTCTCGCGCGCTATGTTCTAACCGTTTTAAAACTTCAATTTAATTCAATCGTCCTAATTCATATTTTAAGGGCTTAAAGTAACTTAAATTGGTACTCAAAATCTCCCTCTCGACTCGGAACGAAGTGCCAACTTTTCAACACACACACACACACACACACAAAGAAAAAAAAATCTGTTCAATTAATAACTCACACAAAAAAGATTTGTGTGTCGCATTTAAATAATTAAGATCCAAAGTTTTACTTACAATTTTTTTTTTTTTTTTTTCATATTTCGAGTGATCAATAGAGTCGTCACTGGTTACTCGCGCGTTTTTTCAATTTGAGAGCAACTTTGTGTACGCAGCATCTTTGATTGAAAGAAACAAAACAAAAAAAAGTCTCGCAAATTAATTAATAACAAATTCTCTCCCCGCTCGCAACAGAACCTCGCGACGAAAAAAAAACCGACGATTCTCGAATTAAAATATATGTACAAAGCAAAACACACAGAGTTACATAAACTATATATTTGTAACCTGTCATCGATTAATCGATCAACCTACAAAGCCGTGACCTAATTACGGTGAGAATTTGCGGTATTTCACTAATTAAATAATAATTACTGGCCAACCATTCTCCTGGCATTGCATCGGAAATATTTCCTCGCCTTTCATTACACAGCAGACAGCAAAAAATAAGCGTTAGAAATTTATATTATAAAATATCAAATGTCGACCTGTGTGTATTTCTTCCCTCATTCGTTTTTCGCGTATCGGTTTTTACTTAAACTTTTTTTTACCGGAACAATAACCAAGCCTTTTTCTCTCTCTCTCTCTCTCTCTCTCTCTCCCTTTTTCCCGTCTCGTTTAATATTACACGAGTGTGCTCACTTCTCACAATTATTTTAACAGCTACTTGTTATGAGCAATTACGCGTCGTTCAATGAACAAAAAAAGTCGCGCGTTTCAGACAACTGTAATAAGAGTATTTAACGAACAAGAAAACAATTCGCAAGCATCATCAACGATCGCGATTAACTATCTCAGTTTGCCAAGTGTCGCGTTCTCTCCGCGCGAAATCCTTAGAAAAAAAAAAAACGAAATATTTTATTGAACACGCAAACTGTGACACTGCTCTCTGAAGAAACGTTGTTTTCTTCAAAAGTCAATATGCAAACACAATGAATTTCCCCGGATGATCTAATCCCGATGACGGCAATAGATAACGTTGAATTCATTCTACGAAGTGTCCCGCCGCATCTCTCGTTTAAAATATGCATGAAAATTTTGATTCAATTTAAACTTAGTGACAAGAGTTAACAAAGACGTCAGTTTCCAAGTCGATCGCGAATTTTAAAAAACATAGTCTAGTTGAAGTTGGCTTGATTAATCTTTCCCCCTTCTCGCAAACAAATTCAATTGAAATTTCTGAGGCGAAAAATCTGTTTCGCTCGGTGATAAAAAATAGCAGGAAAAAAAAAAAATCATCGCTTAAATATCGCGCATCTCCGACCTCAATCTTTTTGAGATACACGTGTGTATTTAGAAAAAAAACCACCGCGATAAAAACAAAAGATGTCGCAACGCGCGCGCGTAGATGAGAGAAGAACGTTTGTGAGAAAATTTTCGCATTCTAGGCAACCGATGATCAAGAGTTGACAATGAGATGCGAGATATTCTGCTGTCGTCATCGTTACCTTACCGCGAGGAATGCAAAATGCACAAAAAGCCGCGTCGTCACGTAAGGAACTTACGTAGCGCGAGATGTGGTATCCGATGCAAAAGAAAAAAAATCGTGGCAAATATAATTGCGACGTACGTACGCGCGAAGATCTGAAAAGCGCGTGCGACTAACAACTCCGGATAGTTTCTTCTCCCGGGAGCATCTCGGTCGCCGTGATCCGATTGTCAAGGACCGGATAATAAACAGTCGGCGATATGCATCTCGTATTGCTCGTTGCGTATTAGCCGCGTCGGAAATGTCGAAGGTGTAAAATCGACATAAAGGTCGGCCAATCGCGTCGGATCAATAATAAATTTCCGTGTGCGCTGACGGAGCGCTCTGACAAACTTCCGATTTGCAATTAAACCGAACGCGGTAATTGCGTCAGATAAAAATTATTGCACAAAGTGCAATTTTGGCAAAGAGACTCCAACGGGAGAGACTTGCGAGAGCAAAGCTTCCGAGATTGGAGTGATCGGCGTGCGTTTTCGCGTAGTCGCGCGCGCGAGCAAGAAACACACAGAAAGGTGCCGAGTAGGTGACCGGAGCGTTGACGCAAAACGCACTAAACGGAGAAGTTAATTACGGCGTTAGTAACGTGCATATCTCACGCACGGAAAGTGGGACAACTACAGAGACGCGAAAAACTCGCGCGCGCGTTAGAATCACCTCCACAATCGCGCGCGTATAAATCGTTACGTAAAACGTTTCAGCGATCGTTGGATCTCGCGGCGGTCAGCGCACGTCGCAATTAGAGAGAGTCTCACCTGAAGAGAATCTCTCGTCAGCGCGTTGCATCGTTCGCGCGTGTGACTTAAATTTCTCCCTCCCCGAACGGACAACACGTTGAACAAGAATTGTCGGCGCTCGCTTGTTGTAACACGTGAAACGTCATCGGTGACAAATAACTATCAATGACACAACGTGGTCTCTTTTTTCTAATATAATTGTATAATGTATTTTAAATGACACAGACGTATTTAAAACACATTATTTATATTATAAACCACGTATGTGTGCAAAAAATGCGAATGGATTTTTTCTAATCAGACTTGCAGTATCATTTGCGCGACGTGACATAACGAGCGGCGGGCGTGACGCGTTCTATGTTTACGTTAAACTCATTATCCGCCGCTATCGCTATCGAGAAAAGACGATAACCGCGAAACGTAAATAAAATTGACATCGCTTGATCCCATACCTGAGGAATGTTTGCGTTGAGCTGGCGATTCAGGGCGTCCCGTTCCTTCTCGACCTCGGTCAGTCGCGTTTCCGTTTCCTGCAACCGTTCCTGGTGCTCGCGTATCGTCTCCATCAATTTGTCGCGCTCGTCCAGCATCTGCACCATCAGCTGCTCGAAGTTTCCGTCCTCGCCGGAAAATTGCGAGCTCCGCTGGCTCATGCTGTCCTCCGCGATCGTCGGCATCACGTCGCACATCATATTCCACATTTTGCGCGTCTACTGCTGCTGCTGCTGCTGCTGCTGCTGCTGCTGCTGCTGTTGCTGCTGCTGCTGCAGCTGCTACTTCTTCTGCTGCTACTCTGTTGCGTCGTTACTTATATATATTTATACCTTCGGTCGTCGTCAACGGACTCCGCACTCGCGTAACAAATTATTTTGTTATATTCCTCCACTATTCTGTTGTTGTTGTTACTCGCAGGAGAGCGCCGCACCAGAGAGCTGCGGGACAATCACCGGTGGCAAATCGCACACACGCGCTGCGAACGGCACGCGCGTCGCTCGTACCGCGTGACACGCGACGCGGTGCACGGCGAGGCGTGTTGTACACGTATATACAGACCCACACTCACACACATACACACACACACGTGTATATACATGTACATACATGCACACGCGCGCGCGCACCACGCATGCACACACGCGCACATACACACATGCACACAACCGGTATATATAGGAGGGAGAGACTCCTGCGCGCTCCTTCGGATATATCTTTCTCTCTGTGTTTCCGTTACTCTATATTTCTCTCTCTCTCTCTCTCTCTTTCCCGCCCTTACTCAATCAGTCCTCGCGTACTATCCGCCCGCACACTCGTCGCGCGTCCCCCTCACTCACTCATTTTGCTTTTTGCTCTGCGCCTCTTCTCTCTTTCTCTCTCTCTCTCTCTCTTGAGACACGGCAACGACCGCCACGCGACAATTGTTCCCGAGAGCAGTAGATTCCACCCAAAAGTCTCGCAGAAATTCTCGATGGAATGGGGGTAACAACGTGCGGATAATAAAAAAACAATCCTCTCTTGTCGAGAGTGACTTTGCGTTTCTGTCTCTTTCTCACCTTCGGAAGATCTCTCCTTCACCTTGATCCTCTCTCTCTCTCTCTCTCTCTCTTCTTCACAGGGATTGACAACAAATTACCAATAATTTCACCGTCGCTTTCGTCGTTCTCTCACGGGAGGGTACATGACGGATGTGTTCGGTGGTCTCTCGCGCGTCAGCACATCACACGTTTTTCCTCTCCTCAATCAAATCGGCCGTGACGAAACGAAGCCGTAGAAAACAAGATCGCGCACATCTATCGTACCATTTTCTTCCCCGATAAGGGCTTCCTCGCGCGTTATCGCGCGTCTCGATAGCGCCCTGCCAACGCCGTATATCGGGATCGTTATTCACGCGGCGCGCCGCGAATTCCAAGGCGACTTGCGTGCTCCGATCACGAAGCGTTTGCTTCGCCTATCACGCGAGCGACTGGAAACTGCAATCGCGCGCACGCCGCCTCTCCTTCCCCTGGAACCGCGTGCGTTCCACAAGCTCTCGCCAGCTCGTGCATGTAGGAAGATACGCCGCCGTCGCCGCACACCGCCGCCCGATCCCGTGAGCGATTTTCGGTCGCGCGCTGGAATATCGCCGAAGACCTTCCCGTTTATCTTATCGTGCGCTTCGGTCTTCTTCCTCCTCCTGTTAGACGCGTAGATGAGCTACCGCACCTTCCGGAATTCGGTGCGACTCCTCGCTGCTGCTCCGCTTTTTTTTTGTCAGCGACGACGACGACGACGTTTGCGATGTATCTCTCGGATTTCTCTCTCTCTCTCTCTCTTTCTCTCTCTCGGCGACACAGTAACACCCTTCGATATCGGAATACAACACCGGGAGGCCGCGTCAGAGCGCTCCGATTCGGGAGCGGAATCGATTGATCGCCGGTAGGTGATTCAGTTTGAACGATTCGCGCCTGGCTGCGCGACGAGCAAATAACTCGCTTCGCTCCGTCTTCGTTTTCCTCGGGAAAAAAACACGAAAAGCGGAATCATCGTCACACAACAGCTCTTCTTCGATCTTATTTCTTTATCCTCGCTCCTGTCCCCGTGGACGACACTTGACGAAGTGCAATCTCAAAGCCCCCGATCGATCAGGTCGCTCTCGAAGAAACGCTTATGCATCAACCGCCGCCGATGTCTCGAAGCTGCCACGCGCGTTCTCTCTCCCCGAAACGATGATGGTTGTTCTTTTTTTCTTTTTTTTTTAATCTCCTCCCGTCTCGCGGAGTTTGGCACACAAAAAGGTTTTTTTTTTTGTTTTTCTAAACCGGATTCCTGTCGTTCCTCTCATCGCACAGTATCCCACATTCGTCGTCTCGTTTCCATTCTTCCGTCCGATTTCGTTTTCATCAATGCACTGTGTGTTTTGACAGATCAATCCTCCTCGCGTTTACTACGAGGGTAATAACAGTAGTATGCGGTGGCACGGTACTGAATGCACACCCCCGGCCAATTGTACAAGCACTCACGATGTGAGAGAAAGAGAGAGAGAGAGAGAGAGAGAGTAAAAGAGAGAAAGAGAGAGAGAGAAAGAGCGCGCAACCGAGAAAGAGAAAGAGATGATAGTCGTCTCCCACTCCGAGTATCTCGATGCTCGCTCTCTCTTTTCTCGCTTAGTGTCGCGACTTTCGATCGGGCTTTCGAGTGGCCCGGTGGCCCGCCCGCCGGGATCCCGACACTCACGAAACGTGGTTATCTCGCGGCCGGAGAATAAAGCCGGCACCACCTCCCGGTTCACGCTCCCTTCGTATCTACCTCTCTCTTTCTCTCGATACACGCGCTCTCGTCAATTCTCTCTCTTCCTTTGCTCCGAAATCACCGCGGAGACCTCTCGTTCTCCTCGTAGAAGAAATACACAAGGGACGTGCGAGAGAGAGAGAGAGAGAGAGAAAGAGAGAGAGACTTCTTCGTCCGCGTGTATGTCGAATCGAGAGTATCTGTATCGCGATTTTGCTTTACTTATTCACTAGCAGTAAGGGAGAGAAAAAAATAAAAGAGAGAGAGAAAGAGAGAGAGAGAGGGAGAGAGGGAGAGAGAAAGAGTGAAAGAGACAGAGAGAAAGGCCGGACGAGACGCGGCGCCGATTCGTACATACGATTCGTACGACGAGCACTGCGCTGAGCGGCGCCGAAAACTCCAAGCTTTAGCCCACGGCGGCGACGGCGACGACAACGACGACGACGCGGCTGGGCATCATCCCGATGGCGTGTTATCTCGCACGCGACGCCGAAAAAACACCGATACACCTACTACCCCGGAGTTCGTTCCTACCGCCCAGCCTTGTCTACGCTACACCATTCCCCCGATACCGGCGGCCATCTTGCGCCATGACGTCAGTCGCCGTTGCCGAAGGCGCGTCCCGACTCCGCCCGAACGCCGCCACCGCCGTTGCCGTCACCACCGCAGGCCACGTTCAGCCGCGTTTACATGAATTAAACCGAGTGCGCAATTCTCATCACAAAGGCTTGTTCAAATACTGAACATCGCGAGAAACTCTGATGAAAACGTTTGAATTTCGCAGAATTTCCTCATTTTGCTCAGAAATTACAACGTGCAATTCGATTACTCCGATTTTGAAAAAAAACATATGTGTATTATATGTTGTTTTTTTATTGGACGCACGAGTAATTTCCATATGAACTTGACCAATCGTGAGTGACGTTACGTCACGTTTTTAATGGAATTGGCACCACTGGCCTTATAGAAAGGAAAGAATTGCAAACATAGATTGCTTACTCCTCAAGTATAGCAAGTGTCGAATAATAGAAAAAGAGCGCAACACTTCAGGAGGAATCTCTCTCTCTCTCTCTCTTTCTCTTAAGCGCGAAATATGTTCTCCGAGAAAAATTGCAATTCCATCGTACATTGGTTCAGAAAAATTACATTTAGAAAACACAGTTGCACTAGTTGAGATTATCATCCGATAAGATCCTCAAAAACCGATCACAGTTCCAAACGTCCAATTACAAGCGACAGTCTTAATTGTGCAACTGTCTTTTAAACAATTATACTATAATTTGCTTTTCCTTTTCCAATTTTTGCTTGCAACTTATTTTAATCTGTTCTCCAAGTCTGGAAAGAACTAACAATTCTATAGTGTCATTCATTACCGATTATCTGTCGTAATTAATTCAAACACACGTAACATGTTTGCGCAAACTTACCAAACCGATGCACCGACTTCGTTTTTCTCAAAACAAAATAATTTACTTTAAAATTATAAAAAATACAAGCAACGGGGTATATACAAATCTGAATTTTGACGGTATTAGTTGTCTAAAACTATGCACAAGTGTTCATAGAAACTGTTTTATATGACAATAGTTAGTACAAAAAAAAAAAAAAATCAACGAAGACAGCACTGGGTAACGTACAAAACGAAAGAAGATATCGGCACACGGAATTTTCACATTTAACATAACACCAGTGTATATTGTGTCACAACTGGGATACATAATATTACAATGGTGCATAATAAAATTCTATACATATTTTTGTTCTATCTAAAGTAAATAATTGTATTTTTAAAATCTTTTTTTTTCCGTCCTTAGGTTTTCGCTCTGAGCCGAAGCGTCAGCTCCGTTACGTTCAAGCTATAATTGTATTCATCAGTTGACACTGTGTGAATTCGATTTTCTCGAAGAAGACGTCTTCTCCGAGCTGACCGGAAAAGATCAGTTCAGAATGTGTCGTCATCACACACACACACACACACATACACACACACAAACATGACGTATTGTTGACATTCGCTTCGACTCACAACGGGAACGTCCGGATCTTGTTTGCCTGTTTGCCATTTTATTAATTTTACACATTTTTAAACAAGCACGAAACTAAACCTCTTAAAAGCGCATGAATCAACTCTTACTTTTTATTCTCGTAACATATAATAGTATTATTATTAATATAATCATAATAATTCATATAAACATTATTTCTATTTTATTCCTTGTTACATGTTCTTATAGCAATATGTCGCGCAGGATGTAAAGATCAATTGCAAGAGGAATTGTTTCTTCTTTTTTTTGTTTCTAGTTTCCTTCTTTCAATCTCTCTCGTCTCTCTTTACATGTGTATCTTTCAACGGAAGTATACTCGCCTTTCTTTCTCTCTCTTTCCCTCTCTCCCTCTTTTCTATCCCTTCCGAGGAAAAAATGGATCTCTGGTCGTTTCCCCCGGCGATTTACTTCGTTTATGTATGTTACACAGTATATATACATAATGTATATAAGCGCACATATGAGCGGTATATATATTATACATATATATTTGTCCACCTCTTATATGTGTTTTATTATAAGTGTTTGCGATGGGGTTCGCGGTTTATTCTCCTCTCTCTCTTTGTTTCTCTTCTCTTAACTATAATATATAACTTATTTCTATCGCCCTCACCTCTCTTTTTATTTCTTTCTTCTCCGAGAATATAACAAAAATCTACGCATATAATATAGGTAAATTCCGCACGGTGCCCCTTCTCTTTCTTCTTGTGTGTAAGACGAACCCTGCGGTTGCGCGTACGCAAGTTTTCCTTACTATTTTCACTTACTTTAAATAGTACATGATATCTATCTGTTTTTTTTTCTCAATATACTTATATAATGTATGTATATGTATATATATATATATATTATATATATATATCAATTATATATATATCTAGATTTCTACTACAAGTTGCGAGCAACTTTTTTTTTTTTTAATCGCACACGCTGGGGAACACGCGTGACGCTTAAACGCGCGCTAATAAATTTGTCATTCTCTCCACGTAATGGCTATTTGATGGTGAGCGTATGTGCGCACGTATGCATATATGTACATACATACATGATGTATGTATACTATATAATACGTATTGTATATATAAATATATAATGTATATATATTGTTATATATACACGCATACACACGTGTATGTACATATAAATACATACACATACACACCTACATCAGATATATATATATATATATATCAATATTATACATTATATGTATATACATGTATATGCATATATATATATATATATATATATATATGTTCAACCCGACAACGTGGCAATCGATGAGAAAACGCGACTTCGTCTTTGTTTTTTATTCTTCGTTTTGAACTGTTCTCCACAAAATGTTCGAATTAAACAATTTCAAAAAAGTACATTAAAAAAGAAAAAAAACATTCAATCGTCAAGTTGTCGCGCTTTTATTTATCTCTCTCCCCTTTTTTCTATTATCTTTATCACTTAAAGTTAAATACGAAATATATGGCCTTACACGATGAACGCTACAGTCATAGTGCGCGTGTTCCTCTGTTTTTTTTTTCAGCAATAGATAGTAACAAAATAAGACATATATATTCGTCGGTCGTATCTCATGTTTAATTACAAAAACTTCACTTAAACTTAAATTTTATTTCGGTAACGGTAAGACGCAATTCATTCAATTTTCTTTTTTCTCTCATCTCAGTTTGCTTACGGTCCATAGTGCATAGTCAGAAAACTCAATGTAGTGTCAAACTCAAGAACGTATCCCGTTCGTTCACAGGTCTTCGTTTTTTTTTCCCTAAATGAAACGTGGCCGGAACCACCACCATATATTGCACTCGATCGTATAACAACTAAGAGCAGAACCCACAATGACTAACTAAATCAAATGATTGCGCGTAAAAATACTTATTATAGATGTATACTAGATTTTCAAATCAAAGAAGCGTGTTTCACGTCGCTCCTGCGGTTGGTTCGAGTAATTCGATTTAACTTGACTTTTATTTTTGTTTTTTTGTTTTTTTTTTGTTTTGAATTTTTGACAACGAGACATACACCACACACCAATTAAGTAGTATAAACACCAAGTTAGAATTTTCAAAATGATTACGTATAGTTTTTATTTCGCAAGAGAACATTCCTTAATCCTCAATTATAAAAAAAAAAAAAAACAAATTTTACTCTCGACAGTGTCGAAAATAAAAGTTGGAGCACATTCGCTAAACATTCAGTAAACAAACATACTTTAACTCGGTAAGCCTATTTGTCCCGAAATAAATGCATCGACGCTGACACATTGCTATTTAACGTTTAGGAGATCTGGTCAGATCAATATCGCGACAGATAACTATCTCGAAATTATTCTCTTGTGAAACAAATTACAATATGCAGCGAGAAACTCGACGAAAAACGCTTCGTTAGAAAATTAAGACTACTCTTAAAGATAAATTTGCCGGTCAGGCTCATATATCGTCTTTTTTTTTGTTTTTGGTTAATATTTCTTTACATAACAGTACACCTAGGCAAATAAATCGCATATTCCCACTTAGGTTACGAAATCCAAAGCATACCACCCGTCCCACAGATCCGCATCGAAGTTACAACGCTAAATGATATCCTCTCGTATAAAACTTACTACGCAGAAATCAGTAACGAATAGTCGAAGCAATAGTCGAGGCAATTACAATCACCGCTAAATTTTTTCGCTATAATATATACTTTGATTAACTTTTCGAAAATTGCTCATGTCATCAATAGTAGTTAAATTGTATTTGCAAATACGAATTTACGAATACGTATATATAAAAATCCCAGTGTAACAAGCGGGAACAAATTGCGACATGTCTCGTACACAACACGATAAATAATCATAACAATTGGTTGTTGGTTTTGAAACTTTTTCTAGCTACCGAGTATGGAAAGTTTTCATAACGCCATACTTACTGCAAAGTTCGATCTTTTTTGCCGCAACGGACAAATGGATTTTCAGTTGTAGGCGGTAAATATTTTCGACTTACTATGTAACCGAATTTATGATTCTTAGATCAATTGTTATAAAGCGTATATATTGTGTCGCATGCGTCAAACGTAGATTGAATTATGTACGCATTTATATCAATGCGGACTAAGAAAGAAGCCTTCGGCTGATTTAGGTCCTTCGAATATTGATAGTGATATGTGAAACATTTTATTTCAATATAAATTGCAAGATAAAAATTTATGTAAATTTCTCGCTTCTGGTCCCACAATTTAGACACAACTGCAGAAGCTTCTCCAGGAGAAGACATTAGGGGTCGGTCACCTATGATCAACTTTAACTGGCAGATTAATCCGTTGAAATTGACTAATCGCATTAAGTCGTTTAGTGAATGGACTATTCGCGTTGACACTTAATCGGCGATTAGCTTTAAAGAGCGGAGATGGCAAAAAAACTGGCCCTATCTTTTCCGAATAGTTCTTGGATTGTGACGTGAGGTCTGATTTAGACTGGCGCAACATTATTGATAACACAATCTGGGAACAATTCGTATCATTGTTGTCACGTCAACAAGTGAAATACATATCTTACATTTGCAACACATGTGATCAACAATGTTGCGCGCTTGATCTAAACGCTTTAGAAGCGAGAAAATATACATCTAAATTTATTTCAAATTCCAACTTATATTGAAATAAAAGTTTTTTTTTTTAAGTAGAAATCCATATGCAATCGATAGAGCATATCGATAAAATATTCCGAACACGGCAATCAGATTATGACACATTGTAGAAAACAAAGCTTGTTCCAGTCGGCAGCTGTCATAACAAACTAAAGTAACATTTGACAAGTCAACGTTTCGAAAACAAAAAAAAAAAACAAAAAAAAGAAGAGAATTCTGAAGATAAAAATAAATGAGATCTATAGAGGATCGTAAGAAGTTAGATTTTCCTGATCCAAATAAATGATTGGAGATAAAATGACGCAGATTACTTGATACAGAAGCCGCAAGTTGTCAAAACTGTAAGATTGTGCCTAGACAGGCTGAAGGCACGATAAACTCAGAATAATCCCTCAATGGAAGCAACATCTTCCACAATAGAGGTGACGACACACAAACTCGTGTTTTGCGAATACATTTCAACTAACACTACTACACATGATAATAACGTTCGAAAACTTTGTCTAATTATCGAACGCGATACACAAATAAACTTTTCACATAATATAAAAGTAATACGTGAATATAATTCAAACTAACATTGCTGATATTATAGAATTAGTATCTTTTTTTTTTTTTTACATAATTTTTTCGCAATTACGTAAAAATGATAAAATAAAGAAGATTATAAACGAGAACACTTGCTGCATTCTAACATGCTATCGCAAAGTTCTTCTAATATATTCTGATATTCTTGCACAAATTTGAAGCACTGAATATTACCGTCAAATCGACATACTTATCAAGTATACAAGCATACAATAAGCAAAATCAAACTTTGGATAATACACCGCCGTCGATGTGACGAATCAGTTTTTATTAGTCCCAGCGCACATTTTGCGTGCTTATCACATTGCAATCGTTCTGTTTTTTTCGTTCTGAACAAAAAATTCATAACAAATTTTATGAAACGAAGACGAGTGCAGCTACATCAGCATCGCGGACAAATCACACGTCACGTGACACACGATTTTTTTTTTTTTTTT